TAATAATAAATAAATAATAATTTTTTTTTTTTTTTTTTTTTTTTGTTAGTTTGTTTGGAATCCAGCTGAGATTAGCTTCATTCATACACTTATTGATGCCAACCCATTTCATCAAAAGTTTAATTTTTGTTAAACAATGATTTCTAAGTTTCTAAACAAAAATCCATCTTTATTTTTAAAAATTACTTTCATTTTTTATTACATTTTTACCCTTTGTTTTTCACTAAATTGTTAATACTCACCTTCAATTTTTCTAATACTTAATTTAAAAGAATTAAATTACTTATTAAAATCAATTATATTTTTTTATATCGTAGTTATATGATTAATTATATAAAAGTTAACTTCAAATACTTCTTTAACGATTGTAAATGTAACAACGTAAAAGATTGCAATTGCAACTATCGTCCTAGACGATGAAATCGAATATTTATGGTAAAAATTGATACACCATACCATTTGATTAATTAACAATAACAAAGGCAACAAATAATTTTCCCCACACTTTTTTTTAATTTATTTAGTCCAATTATCATAACAAAGAAATAAAAGACCATTTATGTTCATTTGGAATTTAAATCCGTGATTTTAAATCTTTTTATTTTCATAATTGAGATCAAACGAATCATCATAGTTGGTCTAGTGATCAATAAATATAACATAAAAATAAAAAAGATTTAGAGAGGATGAGCTCAAGCTCGGGACATTGTAAACACTAATTGAATAGATTCCTGAACTGAACTGACTTTGTCTAATGAAACTCTAAATCTTCAAATTTGTTAATCAATTCTAAAAGAGTTAAAAGCTGCTTGACAACAAAATTTAAACCTCGTAAAAGTCGATATTTCTGGGCAGTCGTTTTATTCGTTTTAGATAGCTTCGAGTCTCATCCCCTACATTATTCTCAAAACCCTCACAAATCAATCCCTGAGGAGGTTTCATGTTCATCCTAGCAGAGAAGTTTTGGCTATCAAGTTTCCAACCTAAAAAGTATGCGCCCAGGAAGGCCTTACCACTAGGGCACTCTCGCAATTCAAAAACATAGTATGACCATGTTTCGAGTGAGATTATATATCTAACTCAGTTGAGCTATGCTCGCGTTCCTTTTCAAACCATAAACGTCTCATACTCATACTTTTTTCTGCATCAACGTCATACAAATGAATGGATAAACAGAAGGCCACATCAAAACATTGTCAAATCAAAAGATGCAAGCACAGTAGTATAGAACGAGGAAAAATCATAGTTCCTCATGCTAAATGTTCGAGTGATGAACATTGAATATTTTACATGTACATATGAAAAAAAAAAACAGGCAAAAGCAAGAACCCTTCCAGACCCAGAAAATAAACACCAAATTCAAGAAATCCTCTCCATTCCAAGATCCAACCACATCAATCTCCCAGAAAAAAGTTGATGATTCAGAAACAGCATCTCAGAATCTCCCACATTCAAACTCATGGGTGTCTCTAATGCCACTAAAGCTTTAATCCCACCATAAGTATAATCCACACCAAACGAAACACAATGTGAAAATAAAACCAACAAATGAATTGGAACCAGATTCCAATGACCAGATGAACCCAAGCTAGCACAATAAGGAATCGAGTGATTGAAACATACCCATCAAACTGGCCGGAATTCTGAATGAAATTGGGAATCAAATCCGAGTGTAACCTCGTTGTTGTTGTTGCTGATTTCCCACAACCGACAGCAATCCCCCTTCTGCGGCGGTCTCCTCGTCGAGGAAATGATCCGCTGTAATCCGAAACGCCGCGTGAAGTCCGACCACAGCGACACCTGTAATTAGGGCTCCCAAAACATTCGATCCGACATCAGTAGAAACAAGAGCAATGATGGTAACAATGCTCAAAACCCCCAAAACAATTTTATCATCGAATGTTTGGTTGAAGAGAACGAGGGGCTGGTCACGAAGGAAGTAGCAGAACAACCAACCAACGAAGATGAGGAGAAAGACGATGATCGAAATCGGGTGCCAGAACAGGCTGAGGAAAACGATTATGAGCATCACCAAGGCGTAATTAACACGAAAGTAGTCGACGTTCTGGCGGATTCTGGCCATGGCGTCGTCATAGCTGAAAGGGAGAGAAAAGGCGGAGAAATCGAAGAGCTCTCGCCATGGCCGCCGTGTGGCGATTAGGGATTGCGTGGTGGATTTAGCACGTTCGAGGAAGGAGGAACTGGAAGGGAAAGATGGTGGAACTCCGGCGGAGGTGGAGGCGGCCGGAGAGGGGACGGTGCCGTAGCCGGCGGAGAATTTAACCGGTGACATTGGGGGAATTTGGACGGATCTGAGGGATTTTTGGGGGAAGTGGGTTTAAATTTTCTGGGAAATTGATTTGAGGGTTGGATCAGTAGAATGGAGCGATGGGAATATGGGTTCCCATCTCCAGTTCTTCCCGCTTCTGAATCGTTTTACATTCGTTCTTTTGCAGAGATTATAAAGAAGACGGAGATGGAGAGTTTCCAGTTGCAATTTCCACAGTTTTCTAAATAATAATTTAAATGAAAATTTTGAATTTCAATATGATATGTCAATTTAGTTCTAACATAAACTAATTAAGTTAGGGTTAGTTTCATTAAATGCCACAAATGACAAATATGGCAATTTTTAGTGAAACAAATGTAACTATGGAATATATTTATAAATTTTTTCATATCAAACAAACAATTCAAGAACTTGATCCTAAAAAAAACCCTAAAAGAGAATACATCTCATTGAAGAACTTAAAAGAGAGTCTAAAGGGACCGAAAATGAGAGCTATGAAACTAAAGGATGCATTCACATCATAAGTGATAGATGACCACTTGTTGGTCAGGTTAGCCTCCAAACTCGATAACGCAAGCAATCCTTAACATTGGTACGACAAACAAAAACCAACTTTGTTGTTCCAAGAACATATCTCATGGCACTTGAAGAATAAGTGACCATGAAACTCATCTATTCTAATGTGGAGAACAAATACGATCAGAAATAGAATGTTCCAATGATGTAGTCGAACCTGCATATGAAACCTATCCCAAATAGTCAGTCGTAGAATAAGATATGCTTAGGAATGTTCCCCCCAAACAACAAAATTCTATATCAAGACATCTTAGGGCTCTTAGGTCACAGTACATTCCAACGCTGGTCAAGAGGTCATTTAACCTAATCATTCCTATCAGCCATGAGCCAAATAGAATGCATAGAGCTAGACAATCTATCCAATCCAAAAAGGCATCCTACTATTGACAAGATCCATATAGACGAAGATAATCATTCACTTATAATTACAAGGTGTCGATATCTAAAACAATCATCGTGCTAAACTAGTGGAATATGAGTCCTACCAACAACTATGGGTTCAAAGACTGACCACGCAGAACAATGCGTCAACCCAAGCAACACAAAGGGAAAAACCTGACTCATTAAGTTACTACTTTAGCATATTTAAACGCACGTGCATACCACCTAATTGAATCTGCTACTTGCCAAAAACAAAATTAATTTTTTTAGGACAAATAAATTGAATCTCATGTGTCAAATAGCATTTGAATAGGACATCTATATAATCAAATATGTTATCTCGAATCACATGTTTAAATCTAAATCTCCATTTTCACGGGTTGAACTCAACAAAAATAAATAAATAAATAAATAATCTTAAATGAAGTTCAAACAAAAAAATAATTACATGTGAAAATATTAACAAAAAATTAAAAAAAAAAAAAACAAAAACAAATATACGTTTAAAGTAGAAATTAACTCACCAACCAAATTCAAGAATAAAAGTTAAATTAACACAGCAAATCAAATTAAATATAAAACTTTAATAGTAACCAATTTTGTCTAACGTTTTTGCATGATCAAATAGTTTAGAATTTGTTTCATTAGGTTAGCCTAATTCTTAAGCTGTCGTGGTTGCCCACGTCTTCAGATTCCACTGCCTCATCATTATCTAAATTTTAAATTGGCATATGTCCCCTCCATATCATCATCCTATATCAGCACATTTTTCACGTAATTATCAGACCAAACAAGCTTAATTAGTACTAACCACTAACTAATTAAATCATTACCTCTAAACTACTCTCAAAGTTATACAAACTTCTATACCAAAAACAAACAAAAAGAACATATATGAACGAACTCCGCCGTCTTAGCCTTTGTAAAGTTGTCTATAGAACAATTGCAAAATGGTTGAAAAATAGGCTCTAACTCGTTTTAGGCAATACAATTGGTGATTCCCAAAATGCTTTCAAGCTGCCAAATAGCGGATAATATCATCTTTGGATACGAATGCATTCACTCTATCCATTGCTCTAAACCTAGAAAGAACGTGTATGCACCTCCCTAACTAGATACAATGAGTTATCCCTAAAGGTGTTAATAACAATCGTCCTTATCACCAAATGGCTCGAGCTAGTTTTTTAGACAACAAAAATTTTCTCTAACGGCGGGCAATATCATCATTGTATTCGAATGCATTCAACTCTATCCATTGGTCTAAATTTAGAAAGATCGATCATGCATCTCTCAAATGCAGGTTTTTCTCAGAGGCATGATGAATAAAATAGGTTTCCATGATGAAGTTCAGAAAGTTGGTAGGTGACCTACCAGCTTATGATAGGGTTGAACCTTTACCCAAGAGGAAACTTTTACACTCCTATGAGCCCACAATGTAGAAAACTACTCCCTGAGACTGATATTCATGTTCTTTAGCATTGCAAAATGGTAAAGAAACATCAGGCTCATGAGAGACACTTACGGTTTCCTTTTTAGCAGCCCAACTTTGATATCCTCAATCTCTCTTGCAGGGCTTTATCGGTTCTAAACAAAGGAGTTAGGTGAGCTAGTGGCAGGCTAATGGCCATGCTGGAATCCGCGGAACAAAAATGGTGGTCAACAGACAATCCACAACAAAATTATCAGAGACAATCAGAGACAAATAATTATCAACACAGCAACACGACCCAATGACAACAAAATGGGAAGCTCCAAATAAAAACACTTACAAAATCAATGTGGATGCCCCCATTTTGGATCAAGCCATGGTTTTGGGTTATAATCTGTAACCACAGTGGAGAAATTGTGGCCGGGGCGGAAGAATGCGCAAGTGTCTCAAATCTCATGGAATCGGCGGAGGCTACGGCTATTTGTTTCAGGAATCAGACCTGCCACAATAGAGTCCAACGCCATCACCTTCTACAATCTGATCTGATGAACATATCACTACGAAAACGAGCTCCAACCTGTTGTGGAGAATATTCAAGAACATTTGAAAAGAGGAGATGTTACAGGGTTTCGCATACCTGTCGCCAAGCAAATGGCCAAGCTCATGCCTTTGTCGTCCATGCCCAAATCCACCGTCACACTGAAATCTGGATGGAAGAAAGCCCACCTTGGGTAAGACAAGAGGAGCTTCTGGATGTCCAAACAATGTTACGGCTGCACAATCTCAGATACCTGACTTACGAGGACGACAATGTTTTGGTGCCCCATGCCAACTCAACTTCTTTTAATTCTGTTTTCAGTTTTTCTTTATGTTTAAATGGAACAATTGCTTACGATCTAGTTATCGAGACTAATCCAACATTAAATTAGCACTGATACAATATCAAATAAATTGAATAATAAAAAGAAAACAGTCACTTTAAGTTGTTCGTGAATTCCACACCTCAACTTCTCTCTATCAAAATCAACACTATCATTACTGTATCTTACGCCCACCCCAAAAGGAAATAAATTACAGGGAAGACAGGCAGAAGTAGAAAAATGGATCCTCGCCAGCACCAGATCTGATCATCTAAAGAATCAGCCATAGACGCTGGATTATGGTTTTTGTTTATCTGTGCCATGAAACTTTCTGCCTGCTTCAACTGCTTCCCTGCAAAGAAAACGAATATTGTGATGAATTATGAAGGGTAACTCCAAAATCCCCAAAAAAGAGAATCCTCAAACAGATTGGAGGAAGCATATATCATATCAACCCAGAAAGCATTACTGTCATAATGAAGTTTGTCCATTTTTGCAGTCATAATAAATGAAGACTTTCAACAAAACTGACTAATTACCATAAAGAACTACAAAAAAAAACAAATAGAAACAAAGGCTATCAAAAACGAAACCTCCAAATATAAATAACAAAACACACACACACACACACACATAGTAGAAACAGATTGAGATTAATAAGAACCTGAAAGCATTGACCAATGCCATATTGTTAGGATCAAGCTGGACACCCTCGTAGAAAGAGTTTGCTGCTTCTTCAAACCTCTGCAGTTATGACCACAAGTTCATGGAATAAGAAAAGTCTTATGATTCTTAAACAAAAAAAAAATGAAACTACTGAGTAGTGAGGTTATGACATCAACGCCCATGAAATGATTCACAGTGAACCTGAAGACTTGCCTGCAATAAACGTAAAGCTGCACCTTCTCGATAGCAAGCCTTGGGCCAATCTGGTTTCAATGCTCTACAGGCTCTTGCATCTGCTAAGGCCTGCTCAGCTTGACCTAACCGTATCCAACAAAGGCTTCGGTTGGAAAACAATGTACCATCAGTTGGATCCAGGTCGATGGCCTACAAATTTACATTGTATTAGTAGTCTAGTAGCATCAGCCACGCTTCCCAATACAGTCTCTGCCACATCTCATAACTTCAAAAAGAAAAAAAAAAACAGCCCACCAAAAAGAACAAAGAAAGCAAATACCTACCTGCGTATAAGCATCTACCGCTGTCTGAAAATCCTTTGTATTGAAAGCATCATCCCCTCTAGATTTGGCCTCTGCGGCTTTCTTCTTTGCTTCAGGTGACACCTAGAAGTTAAGTTGTAACAGTCACAACAGAGAACTGGATCACCACTTATAAAAATCATTTTAGTTTCTGTGCGCTTCATAAGCATTTTCATTTGATCATTTGATTAAAAAGTTGGTTAAGGGAGAGGATAGAAGTGTACTTATCTCATGAAACTTACATGGACAAATTTATCAAGCCATTATGACCAATTTGAATATAAAACAAACCACCGTATCAAAGTTTAGTAAATATTCTGTTGATACCAAATTCCGAAACCTTATTGCAACCACATTTTGAATAATCCATACGTAAATAATTTCCTTTACATTGGCAACGTACAAAGTACAGCTCAATACACAAACGGGCCAATGATTCATCTAAAGAAAGGTTTGAATGCCTTTAATGCATAATTCCCTCCGAGGTTCGCAGTTGTGAAAGGTTTGAACACTTGAACCAATATTTAAACTTCTTTTCCAAACAATGAAAGTAGTTATTTCTCTCACCCAAAAAAAAAAAAAGATTCTTTCCCAACCAATATATTGAATGACATTGACAAATTGTAAGTAACCATCTTAATTAGCCATTAATTTTCATCATCATCATCATCACTTATTAATCACGTTGGAGTGTTGCATGGAACGACCCATATGAAAACTTTGAACACATGAATAACCAAAAAATAAACTGATCGAGAGGGTTATAAATGCACCTCAGGCAAACCTTGCTCTCCTGCTGTGGAGTCTTTATGTTTATTAACCTCCTCCAGATTTCTAGAACTTTCCTACAAATTTCCATTGCAATTAAGATACAAAGCAGCTGTGAGATACAAAAACAATAAACAGGCAGATGTTAACGCAGTACTTGATAGAAAGCAGCCAATACAATCCCTTGTTACTCTATTCCAACAAAATTTAGCCCTTAAATTTAAAATATGAAGCAGCTATGAGATACTAGAAACAATAAACAGGCAGATGTTAACTCAGTACTTGACGGAAAGTAGCCAATACAATCCCTCTGTTAATCTATTCCAACAAAATTTAGCCCTTAAATTTAAGATACGAAGCAGCTATGAGATACAAAAAACAATAAACAGGCAGATGCAAACACTGCATTTGATAGAAGGTAGTCAATACAATACCTCTGCTACTCTACTCCAATTTAAAGGGTTAGTGGTGTGATCCCCCTATGTCAGCAACACTTCTTATCATTGTTATTATTTCCATCTATCTCTCCCTTTCGTAGATCAGATATCTTCACATACAATCTTTTTTAATTGCAATAGTCTAGATCGTGATGCAACAATAAGTTATCGAAAATGCATTGTCTGTAACCTTATTACGCATATGGCTTATCTGGAATATGGCTCAGCTTCTTCCCTTTATTTGAACAATTTTCTTGTTTTGATAGAAGATTTATTTTCGTAAAGGAAGAACAGACCACGTGATAAAAACATGAGACTATCCAAGGGATGCTGCAATCTAAAGGTTCGTAAAGGAGCAGAGACCAACATCAAGTGTACATTTTGATATCAAACGCAAAGAGTTTCTGAAGCGTATATATGCTAATGGAAAAAATGAAGGTATCATGAATAACCTATCTGCTAATTAGAAAGCCAAAATAGAATTACAAAATCATACTCGATCTTTGTTGATTTCATTCTGCATATACTCGAGTATTCCATCAGTGGTCCAATTAGGAATTGCCTCAACTGCTGAAGTCAAGGGAAGAAGAATCTCAACAGCTGCCCGATTACCTCTGGCTGCTGCAACCTGTACTGGCTTTAGCCCATCCTATAATGCAACAATAAAAAAAAAAAATTATGCTTAAAAGTGGTCTTCTTTGATATAACTTTTTATAGCAAACAAAGAAACTTTAGTGATCACAGCAAAAATTTACACAGCTTTTGACTTACAAGTTAAAAACATGGAGTAAGACCATTATAGTGTCCCTAGAGTTCGAAAGGAATCTAGCACATATTCATAATCATTACAAGAAGTTTAACAAACACTTATTGATCAAATCTAAAAAATGGTATGTATTTGGTCTGAAAAATTCTAATATCAATTTCAACTGAAGTTGCATAATACCACCACGAGACCTCAAATAAGCTTTGCCAGTTACTAGTTGATTTGATCTTGAAATATTTGTAAATAAGCAACTATTTGTTTCTTTTTTCTTATAGCGGAGAGTTTCTTTTAATTTATAGTAAAGACTTTTCAAATATCAATGAAAATTTTCTATTTCTTGTAGGGGAGAGTAGGATATGATATATTGATTATTTTGATTTTTCTGGTGTCTCTACTACCTTTTTAATTACCTAAAGTTGGGATGTGGTTTTGTAAGCTCCTTTTGACAAGGTTTATAGATGTTATTGTATTTTCTCAGTACAATTTTATAGTAACTTCCACTATATCAAAGAAAGATGTTTTGCATAAAAAAGATCTGAGAAGAAGAAAAATATGAAACGTTGGTATCCCATCCCATAAATCAACAAAAGAAGGAATATGAACAAGATTTTTTTTAAAAAGTAATAACCGTGCCTAGATGTAAAACTTTGTCCATGGATTAGGATCCATACTACCTCATCAATGGCATTAGGATCGGCCCCAGCTTGTAACAAACTATTGATAATTTCAAGGTTCCCACTATCAGCAGCAATATGAAGAGGGGTTGCTCCACCAGCACTGATATTTACTTTAGCACCTGCCTGTGGATTAAATGCAAAGGATGCAAAAAAGTCAAATTCTACTAAACACGGACATACAGCAATACTTGCTGATTCAAAAATTAGCATAGAGCTACAAAGGAACTATTATGGTTGAGCACTGTAGAGCGGATTTGTGGAAGATATGGCTGGAATGAAACTCAACAAAATAAACGAAGAGAAGGAACCACAAGTGAATTTCTAGAGTTCTCTATCTTCAATGCTCTTTACTGGTGTAAAATTGACAGCCTTTTAAGAATTTCAGCTTAAATTTCCATGTGACCAACTGGAGGAATCTTTTGTAATTCCTCTGATTGTGACCTCATTTTGTATTTTTTTGGATTATTTCATTCTTTCAGTGAAATTGTTTCTTATCCCAAAAAAAAAAAACAAGGCATAAAGCAATATAACTGTCCAACAAATGCACAGAATGAAAGTACATTTTCCATCACCAGACAAATATGGATTCTTCCAGATAAGAAACACTCGTAAAGAATTTACAAAAGGGAGAAAGAAAAATTAGGTCAAAAAGAAAATAAACTTCCTTGCTTCTTTCCCGAACATCCTAATCACTAATTGTACTGTGTTCTCCTTAATAACTTTCAAGTCCCCATAGAGACTGCTTTTTGCCAAGCTCTCAGCTCAGTCTTTATTTTCTCAAGTTTGTAAAACAAGACCTAATGGACATTCTCAAACCATACAATGCTTTTTTCACTGCTCTTCTTCAGCAAGCATTTAGAAGAATATGTTCAAAACATTTGGATTTCAATGATGCACTCCCCCTCCAACTGATCACAGGTTAGAATTTAGATAAAAGCTATTGGGAGGACCAACATAGCTACTGTTCAGCTATTTGCTGTGAATATGCCATAAGATTCCTTACTAGCTTAAAGAGATGTCGAGGATTTTGAAGGAAAAATTTAGTCTTAGCCTCTCGGCGGTGTATACTAGACTGGATATAAATTTTTCTAACTATTCATGATTTTTACTCGTACCAACTGTATCGTTTTCTGTGCACTATAATGGTGAATGCACACATTCTGATGCCTGTGTTTCCATCACTTTTTTCAATATTCTCTTCTCTATATGAAATGCTTCTGATCCAAGAAGAAGAAGCAAAGAGTTATCTCTAGGAGGTGTATACTGGACTAGCTATATTTTTCTAATTATTTATCATTTTTATTCATACCAACTAGATAGTTTTTTGTGCTCTACGATGATGAATGCAGAGATTCTGATGCCTAGTGCTTCCATCACTTTTTTGTACCATTCTCTTCTCTTAATGAAATGCTTCTGATCGAAGAAGCAAAAGGTTCATTATTCACACATTACAGCTTGGAAGTAATTAGAATTCAATCAAATATCATTAGTATATGACCTCAGAAGGAACAAAAAAAACGAAGGTCAACAGAAGCAAAACCTGAATCAATAAATCCAAGCAAGCCAGAGAACCAGCAGCCACTGCTGACAATAGGGGGGTAATATCATCGTCAGTTTCAGCATTGGGCTGAAAAATATTAGAGAACATTTATCGCATTAGTGTACACATACAAAGGGAAAAAAATCATCCACGCTTAAATTATCTAAAACATGTCATTGTAAAAATTATGACATGACAAGCTAGTGAAAGTAAATGAAAGAGAAGCTGAAGAACTTAAGAATATATACTGTAGTTGAGGATAATCCACAATCAATGGCAAAGACCCATTAGAAAATCTCTGATATTTTTTAAGCGACGGACCAATACTTCTCTCGACAGTTAAATCATTACTGGCCTCCCAAAAATAGAGATCAATTCATAGAGAAATCTTAAAGGAAGATTACAACTTTACAAATATTGTTCTATGACTATCATGCCAAAGTTAAAACACAAGAATTACCAAAGCAACATTTTCATCAAAAAAAAAAAAAAAAACTTTCCAATTAGAACTCAATCAAATAAGAAGCCTCAAGTACACAAGTTATTTCAATCAATTATATATTTAAGAATATGGAATCTCATAATGGAGATAAAATTGTGAGCTTATATACATTAGCGTGGTGCTCAAGGAGCAGTTTTACAGCTTCCTGTTGGGCATGACCAGCAGCCCAAATCAAAGGGGAGCCGGCATCACTCTGGGAGTTAACATCAGGACCTCTTGAGAGTAAAAACTTTAGCAGCTCAATATTTCCTGCATTAGAAATTAGAAATAATAAAAGTTATACATCGCTCTACAAAATTAGTCCTTACTCTTTCTATCTGTTCTAGGCATGGCACGTACATTGGCCAACCCCAATATTTAGTTTGGTTAAGCATCCTCCCTTCCCTCCCACCTAAACCATTAACTCTCACCCCTTTCTAAGCAAGCAATGGAAGAATTTCATATCATATAACAGACACTGGCAGTTGTAACTATTTAAGCAGCCAAGCCACATGATACATATTCTAGATGTAAGATGTTCAATGATTAAACAAAAATAATTCCCTTCTAATATCCAGACCTAAGAATTAGATGTAAAATGACAGGACTAGGTTCCAGAAATACACTCTATTGTTACTCAAATACTTTTTTCTATTTAGGAACCACTGCTTACTCAAATCAAAATGCTGGCAACAGAATCCTATAGCCCACTACATGTAGGGGCGTGAGAAGAAAGAAGAAGGATTACAAGATGAATTTACCAATGCCTGCAGAATGATGAAGAGCTGTGGCCCCTAAGTCACTTGCTATTGCAGGATTAGCACCACTCTCAATAAGGTATCTTGCAGTATCAGTATGTCCTTGTCGAGCAGCATGAATAAGTGGTGTTTCACCTGTAAAACTCCAAATGAGGTCTAATATTGTAGTACTTGGAGAAAAAAACACAGGACATCATGGTTTCCTTTTTAAGTAAAATGAAGAGCGTCTTGAATTCTTGATGTGAACAATATGATCATACAAATAATTTACATACTTTATTGAATTTCATACTAGCAAAAGGCAATAAGAATTATACAAGAAAAAAATAATTATACAAGAGTGACACAGACAAAACCAATAGAACTCTATACTCATTAAGAGAGCATTTAGAATATCAAATTAATCTTCTCGTGCTCAACAGTCAAACATTCCTCAACCTGCATCTTGCCTCTATTTGTCAAATGCAAACTACGATGCCTCCTTGATAAGTCTAATGGTAATGAAGTACTCAACCAAGTAAAAACCAATGCACGCCACCTAAATCCAAATGCTAACATGGATTCCAAACTAATCTACGTGTAGCATCAAAACCAGTACCAGGTGCAAATAAGAACTCTTTCTGGGAACTTGTTTCTTCAAGACCAAACTTGGCAGTTCAGTTATTACCTTGTTTTCTTTGTTAAACAAAGTATAGTTAATTCTACAACACGAAAGGTACATCTAAAACACGAATTAGAATCCAACTTCATTGATATGCAAGTGAAGACAATAAAATAAAAAAAATCTATCCTGGGCATAAAATGGAATATCAAATTATTTTCAGCATTCCTATAATTAATAATCATATATAAGCCAACTAAATTCCTAAAGAGTTGAACATTAAAGGCAATAGAAAAGATTTAAGAAGATTTATAGTTCAACAATGGCCAACTCTGACGACTAAAACACAATTTCCTTATCTCATAACCCAAATTCCCCCAACAAATAGACAAATAACGGATAAGTAACTTGCCATCTTCATCTCTTGTATCAACATCGAGCTTCAATTCCTCTAGCAGATACTTGCAGACCTCAGTCTTTCCTTCTCTTGCCGCGAAATGAAGTGCTCCTCGCTTATTAGCGTCCTTAATGTCAGCCACAGTTCCCGACAATCCCTTCCCATCGTCAAGCCTAGCAGCCAAATCTAATTGAACATAACAAAGCATTACATAAGAAGTCGACAAATTTTATAAGAAACATAAAATGATCAAATTCAAGCTGGCAAGAACTCGAATAATGAAAAAACTTACTCTTCATGAGATCAATGTTTCCCGTACGAGAGGCGTTGAGAAATTGTTGAACTATCTGCCTCACTGGATAGAATACAAGATTTTGCATCATACAAATTGTTAGCATATAAGCAGAAGAAAGAAGAAGATTAAAATGAGAAACAGGGTACAAAAAATGGTGCTAGAAGAACCTGCGAGAGCGTCTGAAGCATCGGGAGCCATGTTGAGGTAAGCCTCTGAGATTGGTTCCTAAAACCCTAGAAGAAGAAAGGTACTGCAGTCTGTAGAATTCACTGGATTGCGCGGTTTTTTTTTTTTCTTTTTTGATAAATTATGATATTGGTTTCTATTTATTCCCGACTTTCAAATTTGTCTTATAAATCATAGTAAGAGTCGCGAGCGATTACTCTAAAGACGTTTTCGATAATCTAAAGCTGTAGACTATCCATAGAACTTTGTTCAATAAGGAAAAACGTTAGTAATCCGCTCTCTAGTTGAGCTATGAAAGTCGAAGAACATCAATAATTTGTTATTAAACTCGACATTTTTAAAATCAAAGAGACCAACAAAAAAAAAAAAAAAAATGGAGAGAGACACTCTGTTTTTGGATCTCCTGAGTTATAATAAGATTTGAACTCGCTACCTTAATTTACAATTTTGTGTTTGATATGTTCTTAAACATTCAATTTAACGTCTAATAAGTATTGACAAATTAATAACTCGTCTTATTTAATGAAATTTGAACTTTTGATGAGGCTGACGACAATACAGTAACGTCCCACGGCGGATAATATTTATGAGTAGTGGGCCTTGACGGTTGCAAATGGTATTAGAACCAGATACTAGGCGGTGTGTCTAGTTGTGAGGTTCAACACGGTTTGGGAAGGGGAATGAAGCATTTACAAGAGTGTGGAAACCTCTCACTCGTAAACCCATTTTAAAAACCATGAGGTCGACGCGTAATGGGTCAAAGTGGACAATATCGACTCACGTTGGGCTATTATAGCTACCCTAAAAAAATACTTGATTTTCACCGTCATCTTGTTCCATAATTATTAGTCATATTTGATTTTTTAAAAAATTTATCGTATTTTTGTATCGTCAATGAGAATAATGATTTGATATAAAATCAAAACCGACCACAATCGACTGGTAGGAACAAATGGCAACCAACCAACCAACGAGGTTTGATCGACCTTGAATCAAACCTCAATCATAGCCGAATAAGATTTCCAAACGTGTTAGTGACGAGTTTGCTTCGAATTTTGGTGAGTAGAATAATTAATATTTTTTCTATTTTCTATTTTCTTTTTAATTTATAGATTACAATATTAAACATACTTATATTTTTCCATTACGAGTGATTAATTTTTTTTAATTTAAAAATTATAACGATGAAAAATTAAATATCCAAATTTAAAATGATAATGGATATAAATTTAAGGATTAAAATTAAAAAAAAAAAAAGGACAAATTAATAATTATTTGGTATAATTTAACCTTTAGAGATTTAAAATAAAAATAGAAAAAAAAAACTGCATAATAATGCTATATATATAGCCAAATTCAAATTTCCCGTTTGTTTGTAACAGTTCACGCGGTTTAGAGAGAGAGAGAGAAGAGAGAGAAGAGAGAGAAGAGAGAGAAAGCAGAAACAAAACAGAAACCCTATTTCTGCACGATGAAGACGACGGTGGAAGAAGACGATCCGGCGAAGATTTTCATTTCCCGCGACGTTCTTTCTTTCTGAGATTAAAACCCCTTTCCTCCAAACTGAAAAGTTTCTATAAGAATCCAAAAATAGCTGGATTCCGTTGGCTCCGTCTGTTTCAAAGAACTTCTTGATGCCTCCTTCAACCCAACGATCTCCCTTACGCCATTAAAGCACCTCCTCCATTTTTTATTAGAGATGTGTTAGGTTAAGATTCCTGAAGACTAGCAAACCCATTGGGTCATTCTTTTCCTCTGGCGTGCAGGGAAGAAGGGTTTTCCTCCATTTTTCCCCTTCTTTCTTCTTTCGATTTCTTTCCCTTTTTGTTTTCTTGGTCAATTTCTTTTCCTGTACGCCGAAGATATTATGCACATATGAATGTCAATACCTATGTGATGTTTTCTCTCTTCTTCGTCTTGCTAGGGCTATTTAATGGCTTTCACTCTGTTTCTGTTGTTGCTTCCGATCAGGCATTGTTGTTGAGTTGTGGTTCTAACGATGAGGCCACGGATGATAATGGCCGAAAATGGACCTCCGATTCCAAATTCCTCGACGGCAAAAATACCTTAGCCGCACCTGCTGGATTTCAAGATCCGTCCATGACTTCGCAGGTTCCGTACATGGAGGCTAGGGTGTTTACGGCAGTGACGGCTTATAAATTTCTCATCAAACCTGGTAATCGCTACTGGCTTCGACTCCATTTTTACCCTTCCACATTCGGCCCTCATGATTCTGCAAGTTCTTATTTCACCGTCGTTGTGAATGATTTGATCCTTGTGAAGAATTTCAGTGCTTATCTCACATGTCAGGCCTTCACTCAGGCCTACATTGTTCGCGAATTTTCACTCGCGGCTTCGAAATCTGAATTCCTGAGTTTGACATTCACGCCTGTTTCTGGATTTGCCTTTGTTAATGGGATTGAATTGATTCAAATGCCGGAGATCTATGGGAAGGCTATAATGGTGGGTGTAGGGGACCGCACCATGGATTTGGCCCTGTCGAGTATGCAGACGATGGTGAGATTGAATGTCGGTGGGAGCTATATTTCTCCAGCGAATGATTCCGGCCTGAGTAGAGCATGGTATGATGACTTTCCTTATCTCTATGGTGCTTCTGAGGGCGTTACAATTGAAGCTTCCAAGAGTTTGGTGATTCATTATAGAGATATGCCGAAGTATATTGCACCTGTAGAACTTTACAGGTCATTGAGATCAATGGGGACATTAAATGGTGTGAATGTGAATTTCAATCTGACATGGTTGTTTCCTAATATTGATCCCGGGTTCATGTATCTTGTGAGGTTACATTTCTGTGATCTGTATATGAGTAAGCCAAATCAGGTGGTGTTTGATGTGATCATTAACAATCAAACTGCAGATGCGAACGGGATCGATGTGATAGCTTGGGCAGGTGCCGCGGGGGTTCCTAAATTCAGGGATTATGTTGTGTTTTCTCCAGAAGCACCAACAATGCAACAGATTCAGCTGGCATTGCATCCTAGGCTGTTGGATGCGCCTGAATATGCGGATGCTATGTTGAATGGGGCCGAGATATTCAAGCTTGAATCCGGGAAGAACTTGGCAGGGAAGAACCCTCAACCCTCAGCCTTTAGGATGAAGATTGAGACTCAAACAGAGAGAAATTTTGAAACAAAGATCAACAATGCTGAAGTCATTGGTGGGGCTGCAGGGGCGGCTGCAGTTTTTGTTGTGATTGCAATTTGCTTTGCAGTGTACTATAGGAAGAACGGAAGGTCAAGGACTGATCCACACACAACTAGCTGGTTACCGATCTATGGGAACTCACATTCGACTGGCAGCAAATCAACGGTGTCGGGGAAGAGTACTGCAAGCAATTTGGCTCAAGGTTTGGCTCGGCATTTCTCGCTTCCAGAGATTTTACATGCTACCAATAACTTTAGTGAATCTAATGTGATTGGGGTTGGAGGATTTGGGAAGGTGTACAAGGGAGTGATTGATGGAGGAACAAAAGTTGCTATTAAAAGGTCGAACCCGTCATCAGAACAAGGAGTTCACGAGTTCCTTACGGAAATCGATTTGCTTTCGAAGCTGAGACACAAGCACTTGGTATCCTTGATTGGTTTTTGTGATGAAGACAATGAGATGTGTTTAATTTATGATTACATGGGTTTGGGAACTATGAGGGAGCATCTGTATAAGACCAACAACAAAACTCGTCTCTCATGGAAGCAAAGGCTGGAGATTTGTATTGGAGCAGCTAGAGGACTTCACTACCTTCACACAGGAGGGCAGTACACCATCATTCATAGAGATGTTAAAACTACCAACATTCTCTTGGATGAAAACTGGGTTGCAAAGGTTTCCGATTTCGGGCTCTCGAAAACTGGTCCGGATATGGCTCATGGTCACGTTAGCACGGTAGTTAAGGGCAGCTTTGGCTACTTAGATCCAGAGTACTTCCGGAGGCAACAACTGACTGAAAAATCTGATATCTATTCTTTTGGAGTTGTCCTGTTTGAAGTGTTGTGTGCAAGGCCTGCTCTAAATCCAAGCCTGCCAAGGGAACAGGTTAGTCTTGCGGATTGGGCGTTGCACTGCAAACGAAAAGGAGTTCTTGAGGATCTCATCGACCCTCACCTCAAAGGTAAAATCACCCCTGAAAGCTTGAACAAGTTTGCAGATATAGCTGAGAAATGCCTGAATGATCATGGAGCCGAGCGACCGTCTATGGGCGATGTATTGTGGAACCTTGAATTTGCTTTCCAACTTCATGAAAATGCCAATGGCGGTGGCTCGAGTCATAGTTCGAGGATAAATGATGAAGATAGCCACATAAACGAAAACGTGGCTGCACATTACAACAACCTCAACCTTGGAAATGACCAAGATTCACTTCAATCCAGTGAACAAAATAGTACTGCAATCTTCTCTCAACTTCTCCATCCACAAGGACGATAATGCGCGAAAACCTCTTCGACATTGTTCCTGTGCCCCCTGAACAAGGTGCCTAACCAGTGAACAAACAAAAACCATAGTAGTTCAAGCATGTTGAACTTGAGGGAGCGTTGTATTTATGTTGGTATTAGCTATTGGGTGTTTCTGGATGTTTTCATTGGACAGTATACGCATTGGAATCTGTACTTTACACACAACAAACTTGATCAGACTCAAATTCAGCCTGCTGCCTGTTCCTTATGATAAAGTTATACTCACAGAATATTTTAGCTCTTTGCAAAGAACAGGTACGTGCACATACTATCTTCTAGGAGCTGTCTTCAGATGATCAAGTTAGTTTTTCATTTCTCTTAAGTGGGTTTTTCTTTCTGCATCCTTCAAATGTTGCTGATTAGATGTTAAGATATTAGGGGCTGGAGTGATCATTGCCATTGATGTGTATATTTCCTAATTTGGGTTGTACCTCGTCGAGCAATGGACCTGTTAATGCTCTCGATATCAGGTTTAGTTTTTTCCTTTTTTTTTAAATGGTATTAGTATTGGTAATTTAGGTTGTACTCTCGTGAGCAATGGACCTGTTAATGCTCTTGATATCAGACTATGTTTTTCCCTTTTTCGTATTTTTCGTATTAGTATTGGTAAATCCCTCCTTCCATGAGTGGAATGTTCTACGATCATTGTTTCTATTATATTGATTTGCACGGATCTTAATACCATGTTGTTCAATGTTCTACGATCAGACTTTGTTTTTCCCTTTTTCAGATGGTATTAGTATTGGTAAATCTCTCATTCCACGAGTGTAATGTCCTACAATTGTCGTTTCTACTATATTGATTTGCACGGATCTTGATACCATGTTGTTCAATGTTCTACGATCAGACTTTGTTTTTCCCTTTTTCAGATGGTATTAGTATTGGTAAATCTCTCATTCCACGAGTGTAATGTCCTACAATTGTCGTTTCTACTATATTGATTTGCACGGATCTTGATACCATGTTGTTCAATGTTCTACGATCAGACTTTGTTTTTCCCTTTTTCAGATGGTATTAGTATTGGTAAATCTCTCATTCCACGAGTGTAATGTCCTACAATTGTCGTTTCTACTATATTGATTTGCACGGATCTTGATACCATGTTGTTCAATGTTCTACAATCGAACTTTGTTTTTCCCTTTTTCAGATGGTATTAGTATTGGTAAATCTCTCATTCCACGAGTGTAATGTCCTACAATTGTCGTTTCTACTATATTGATTTGCACGGATCTTGATACCATGTTGTTCAATGTTCTACAATCATCGTTTCTACTATATTGATTTGCACGGATCTTGATACCATGTTGTTCAATGTTCTACAATCGGACTTTGTTTTTCCCTTTTTCAGATGGTATTAGTATTGGTAAATCTCTCATTCCACGAGTGTAATGTCCTACAATTGTCGTTTCTACTATATTGATTTGCACGGATCTTGATACCATGTTGTTCAATGTTCTACAATCGGACTTTGTTTTTCCCTTTTTCAGATGGTATTAGTATTGGTAAATCTCTCATTCCACGAGTGTAATGTCCTACAATCGTCGTTTCTACTATATTGATTTGCACGGATTTTGATACCATGTTGTTCAATGTTCTACAATCGGACTTTGTTTTTCCCTTTTTCAGATGGTATTAGTATTGGTAAATCTCTCATTCCACGAGTGTAATGTCCTACAATTGTCGTTTCTACTATATTGATTTGCACGGATCTTGATACCATGTTGTTCAATGTTCTACAATCGGACTTTGTTTTTCCCTTTTTCAGATGGTATTAGTATTGGTAAATCTCTCATTCCACGAGTGTAATGTCCTACAATCGTCGTTTCTACTATATTGATTTGCACGGATCTTGATACCATGTTGTTCAATGTTCTAGATCAGACTTTGTTTTTCCCTTTTTCAGATGGTATTAATATTGGTAAATCTCTCATTCCACGAGTGTAATGTCCTACAATCGTCGTTTCTACTATATTGATTTGCACAGATCTTGATACCATGTTGTTCAATGTTCTACGATCATCGTTTCTACTATGTTTTACAAATGATTATGACCTCATGCTATGAATCACACTTCAAGAAATTGTTATAATGGTTATCTTGACTTCTAAGAACCATGACTATGAATCAAACGTTCACCTTATCGAAAAACTAGTTGAATTGCAAATGTTTTTAAAGAATAATATTCTAGTATTAGTAATATTGTGTCTGGTGTTGAATGCAAGTCTTCGATTTAGAATACTTAAGGTAGCGTTGAAACGCTACAAAAATAGTAATGTCTTTTTTTACTATCACTCAATCCCTATTACATATGTTATCATCCAATTGGGTAAGTGATTGGATTCTACAAATCATTTTAAAGTTTTTAAAAAGAACCAACCGACGTGTACGTTGGCACATTACTTTTCACCGAGAAAGGCGAGCAAATTCTATTTATTATTACATGTTTACTTTCAGTAAAGTTGACGTTCGTTAGTACTAAATACTATCCACTATTAACGTGTGCAACTTTGATAGAGTTTGAGTTTTAAAATTTCACATCTAACGTTGATAAAAACATTTAATTTTTAGACCACTTGAATCATCGAGAAGGTAGTTAAGATGGTGAAAGAAAATTAGACGATAAATTTCAAATTTTGTATTCAAATCAACCGATAACGTGAAATATGTTGAAAAAACCCTAATTTCAACCGGTATTCACGAGAAACTCAATTACTTTTGATATAGGATACCGAACAACTTGAAATTACATTCATTTGAAAGCTTAGATTCTAAGCTACAAAACCATCTCAAGATCACTAAAATTCATCAAGTATTGAACAAGTTATGGCCTTAAGAAGTTAAGTGAAAAACACATAAAAAAACTCCCATTTTCATATTGAACTTGCTCATCCATATCCATTCTTAACCCCTACTTTCATTTCCCACCGTGGATTAAATCCTAGATCTAACGGCTTATATTTAAATTTCCACTAGGATCTCGATCCGCGTCGAAAGTATTTGGACCAATCATATCGCAGTAGCATGACTCCATTTGATTATATAAACTGCCCTCAACCATCTCTCTCCTCATCGAGTTTTCTCTCTCTAAAATTGATTCCTCTTTCTCTCGCTCTTTAGCTAACGTTTCGAGTTCAAGCTATTTATCGATTCCAATAATGTCTTCCGCCGCTGATCCTGTTGCCTCCTCCGATGCTCCCGCCACCGTGGCTGCGGTGGCGCAGCCAGTGGAGAACGATTCGAAGTCGAAGAAAGCTGCGGCTTCTAAAGCTTCGAAGGCTAAGAAACCATCTGGTGCGAAGAGGACCAGATCTTCGCCGACTCATCCTCCTTTCTTTGAGGTATGAGAAATTGATCTCTGTGTTGATCGGTAATGTTTGTTTATTCTATTTCTACGTTCTGATCTGATCGAATTTTGAAATTGTTCTACAGATGATTAGTGAAGCGATTGTGTCGCTGAAGGAGAGGACCGGCTCGAGTCAGTACGCCATTACGAAATTCAGCGAAGAGAAGCACAAAAAATTGCCGTCCAATTTCAGGAAGCTCTTGCTCGTTCATCTGAAGAAGCTAGTCGCCGCTGATAAACTCGTTAAGGTCAAGAACTCCTACAAACTTCCATCAGCGCGCTCGAAAGCAGCAGCAGCGCCAGTTGTCGCCAAGAAGCCAGCGAGCTCTAAACTCAAGGCGGCTGTGAGCGTAAAGAAGGCCGCCGTCGCTAAACCGAAGGCTAAAACTGCTGTGAAACCTAAGCCAAAGGCCGTTGCGAAGCCAAAGTCAGCCGCTAAATCGAAGGTCGTCGCGAAACCAAAGGCCGTCGCTCCAGCCAAGCGTAAGGCGGCAGAAAAGGTTAAGAAGGTCGCTCCGAAGCCTAAGCCAGCTGCAAAGCCCGCTAAAGTTGCGAAAACACTGTCACGAACTTCGCCAGGAAAGAAAGCTGCACCGGCGGCGAAGGCGAAGAAGGTAGCGGCGAAGAAGCCAAAGACTGTAAAGTCTCCGGCGAGGAAAGTCCAGGCAAGGAAAGTCAAGAAATGAATTGTTAGGGTTTTTGATTAAATTCTAGGGTTTGTTTGTTACTTACTACTAGTTCGTAGCGATGTAAATTAGGAACATGAGATGCAATCGTTGCTATACACTATTTTTATTGAAATTTCCAGTTTGATAAATTCAAGGGTTTATCAAATCAATCTTCCGATCTGTTCTCCAAATACAGTGATTATCTCTCTTCTTCCATACTTGTTTACCTTGGGATTCTGATTGGTTTCTTGTAGAGATGAGCGTTAAAGCTTCGAAGGTTAGCTTCAATGGCGGATTTCCCGTATTTTGAAGCGTTTGTTCTTCTGTGTAACGCCGTTTTGATATCTGGATGGCTCACGTGCGTCGCACGCGATTACAATCCACGTGTATCGCATTCAATTACAAGCCACCGAAATTTTAGGATTTAAATTGCTTCCCAAAGTCCTACACTTTTGGAGCCTTATTAAAATGATTTTTCTTCTCTTTTTTGTAAATAAATGATTTTTCATTTTTTTTTTTGCTTTTAACATCGAGACTGCCGTTAAAATACAGTAAAATTTTAATTTATTTTCAATAAGTAAATTAATAGCTCATTTTCGGTTATTATTATCATTTTATTAAATCGCTGTTTTTTTTATATGATTATTTTTTAACATTAGATGTTCGTAACTAATTAAATTAATAGAAAATGGAGGGAGCCTCCAAATTATATATAAATATATATATTTACACTATTGAAATATATTTAACTTTTATTCCGTGTTGGAAAAGTGGAAAATTATTATTGAATTTATTAGAATATTTTACCTTTTTTAATAAAAATCATTTTGAAAAAAAAAAAATCTTAAAATAAAAAACAACAAAAAGATATATGAGGAAAAGGTAAAATATCGATCCTAAAAATGGAAAATAGAGATTGAAACAAGTAGCTTTTAGGTTTGGGGTTTGATGATTGAAATTCAAAATGTGAAGCAAAAAATTGAGAGAAGGAAAGTTTGTATAGTGATTAAGTATCAGATTCCATACCCAAAGAAGAGGGAGTAAAATAGGGAGCCACATACCCAACATCTTCTCTGCTTATCCCCTAAAAATGACCTTCAAACTTCAATCTCTGCCATTCAACTCATGAATTAGCCCAAATTTCAATTTGTTTCTAACTTTGAAACTCGACCCTCCTACATAAACATTTTACCGATCGAGTAAGGGAAGAAAATGACTAAAGTAGCTATTCACGAGAAACTCAAAACTAAACCAAAGTGTTTGAAAGTTTAAAGACCAAAATAGAACGAGATCTAATCTTATATTCCTATATTGTTCTTATCTCATATTCTAGGAGTTTTTGAAAAGAAAGGCGTACTAATGATTTGCTTGCGATGGATCTCAGGGAGGAGTCGTTGTTGAGTCACCTCGGTTCTGCATTTTACTATTTCGAGTTTCTTCAAAAATATCGACAGAGACGACAGATTCATCCTTGCTGTAGTTCTGCAAACACTAACAAAAGCAAAGGTGAGAAAGAATTTCAAGTACATCATATCATCATTCAAGGTCTATTCGCAACGTTTATGTTTACGAACGACTAACCGATCTAATAGTGAAGAAACAATAGCTTGTACTTGTTTGTATGACTTGTGAATCGAAGATATACGTACCAGAGTTACGGTCTACACTACGTCAGTCGAGCAAGGACAAATTCAAGTGGTGAGCTGAAATGCAAGTGTACTTTCTGCCTGCTTTTCAGTTCCCAAACCTGGAAATTGTCCAATATCATGTCCTCCAATGGGTTGAAACTCGTTATGTAAACCAACAGCGAATTCTTCGGACCGTTCGCTGCCACTTTGGAAGTAATCCGCAATCTACAACGACATCCCGTTTTTGGTTAAATATAATGCATAGCAATCCACGGATTCGGATGTTGTTCGGAGCGTAATGCTATTCATGGAAAAACAATAAGCAATATCACAAATGAAGAAGACTCAAGAAGCTTACATGATTTCCAAGAGCTATCCCACTTAGAGCTGCTGATTCTATATTTGAACCCAGTAGCCAATCACCACAGATACCAGCTCTTCCTTGAGGATCAAAGATGCATGGAATACTAGGTGAATTAGTAGGAAGTGCTGCACCCCTGTATAGAGAACCTACATTAGCTATTAACCATTTTTTAAGCGATCACGATGGTTCACGTGTGACAACTTAAGCATAATCTCCAATCTCACGTGCTTAACTCGATAAAAGAAAGCAAATGACGGTCTGGTTTACATGTGGATTATGTTTTTGCCAATTACCATAGCTGAACTCGGGTGTAAACGGGTTTTGGCAGCGACCCTTTCGACAATCCCAGGGCAGCTTCAACACCCTCAAGCATGTTTTTCTTTACTTTCTCAGCAGTAGAACTTGGGATATTCTCCTAATAGAACATCATAGTTGATATCCATCAGTATTTTAACCAAAAAAAAAAAAAAGAAAGAAAGAAAAGAGTTGAGGTAAGTTGCTTCAAAAAAGGCTATGAACACACACACATATCGAATGTCAACTCAAAAAATGGAGTTAAAAGGCTGTAACAGCCTAAGCCCACCGCAAGCAGATATTGTCCTTTTTGGGTTTTCACTTTCGGACTTCCTCTCAAAGTTTTTAAAACGTGTATGCTAGGGAGAGTTTTCCACACCCTTATAAGGAATGCTTCGTTTCCCTCTCCAACCGATGTGGGATCTCACAATCCACCCCCCTTGGGGAGCATAGCGTCCTCATTGGCACACCGCCCAGTGTCTGGCTCTGATACCATTTCTAACAGCCCAAATCTGCCGCTAGCAGATATTGTCCTCTTTGGGCTTTCCCTTTCAGGCTTCCCCTCAAGGTTTTTAAAACACGTCTGCTAGGGTGAGGCTCCCACTCCCTTATAAGAAATGTTTCATTCCCCTCTCCAACCAATGCGGGGGATCTCACACTTTCTCTTCATATATAGAGTCCATTTTCCGGAAAGAATGCTCCATTCTCCTCCAAGTTCTATCCAGAGCCCCCAAAATACCAACCCGTTGATGACTATAATCATGGCAACGTTATTAGAGATTACTAATAATTGAAAAGAAAAAAGAAGCATTTGATAAGAATGTAGGTAATGTGCAAGAGTTGGCAAGCCTTATAGCCAGGTGAAAGCCAACCTGTGGAACCTTGTTCTGTTTCCCATATGCAGCAGTACTCAGAAAGGTCCAACAATGGGGCCCGTCTTTCTCAAAGTTCATAAACTTTTTGTTATTGTTTGCCATCCATGAGATAGAATCAACCCCTTTTACAAAAGCTCCTTCAAATGGTGTAACTGCAGCATCTGTGAAAGGAAGAGGGTCCTCAAATGCTGCAAGGAGGGCCCATATAGAACTCAATTCTAACCTCTACAAACACAGAATAGAAAGGACTAATTAAGAAGGCTGTAAGTACTTATTGTTCATCAATAAACTAAATAAGCTGGAAAGATTATCAAAACTTGCACCTTCATTTGTCTAGCAATCAGAGGCAAACCAGATGTTGCAAGCAGCCTATTAGCACATTTGCCTGTCAGCATTACCAAACTTTTCAAAAACTAATCATTCTTAAAGACAAAGTTCTTATAATCAATTATAAAGAAACAGAAAAAATAAGATGTTGATCAAGATTGCAGACGACCATAATACAATATCATGTACATGACACTTAAATGTCACAGCCCAAGCCCACCGCTAGCAGATACTGTCCTCTTTGGACTTTTCCTTTCGGATTTCCCCTCAAAGTTTTTAAAACGCGTCAGCTAAGGAAGGTTTCCACACCCTTATAAAGAATGCTTCGTTCTCCTCCCCAACTGATGTGAGTCTTACAATCCACCCCCTTCAGGCCCGGTGTCTTTGTTGGCACTCGTTCCCTTCCCTTCTCTAATCGATGTGAGACCCCCCAATCCACCCCCCTTTGGATCCCAGTGTCCTTGCCAACCAGGTGGTGTGCTAGCAAGGACATTGAGCCTCGAAGGGGGGTGGACACGAGGTGTGTGCCAGCAAGGACGCTGGGATTCGAAGGGGGGTGGATTAGGGGGTCTCATATGCCGAAGAGGGGTGGATTGTGAGATTCACATCGATTGGGAAGGAGAACGAAGCATTCTTTATATGCGTGTGAAAACCTCTCCCTAGAAGACACATTTTAAAAACCTTAAGGAGAAGTCCAAAAGGGAAATCCCAAATATGAGCTTGAGCTATGACATAAACGTCTTGCTTCATAAATTTTGTGTAAACGGTAACATTTAATCAAACCACCTAGCAGCCATCAAAAACCAAAAAGAATTGGAGTGTTCATGCTCTAAAGGAAAGAAAGAGCCATCTACTTACCATTGTGTGCAATAACAACAGCATCAAAATGCCCGCAAGGCTTTCCATTCTCACTTAAATGCCACATTCCATTAAATGGCTCCAGCTTACTTATCCAGCAGGGCCGCATCACATTAATCATAGAAGTCTAGCAACAAAAGCCAAATAATAGAAGAAGTAGAAAAGTTAGAGGAAAAACAAAGGGGAAAAAAGCTGAACTTAAGAAATGTAGGATCCCAAACAACAGCAAACCATTCAACTATAATCAAACCATGGAATCTAAGGAGTTATGTGCATAAATCTTTGCTGTTTCCATATTATCCATTCTTTGGTCTATCCTAAAAATTAAACCAAAGAGAAGCAAAATTCAATCACCTGAGACAGCAACGAGTCAGCAAGCGGCCGCATCCCGTTCGTACCAATATACCTTGGACAGGAAGACAATGGAACAAACCGACCACCGAGTTCAAGCTCTCCAACAGCGCCCTTCCACTCTTTAACTAGACCTGCACTCAACCAACCATCCACCAGCTGAGCAAACTGGCTATCAGTCACTGTAAAGAACTGAGCCGCATGATCAAAGATTAGGGGCTCAGGACCAAGACTTCTGGTCCCCATTCTTCCTCCCAACCCATGAACACCCTGCGACAAACACGAAAATTTGAAATGAGCCCTCCTAGATTACCAATGTTTGTCAATCTTCAACTAACACGAGAGGGGGTTCAAAAGATGCATCCAAGTCCATTCACTAGAACGCCTATCAATGAGTTTTCAATTGCAATATCCAACTTCTGAGATACCTACTTCTATCTCTCTCTGAGTTTGTTTAACTTAATGAACAAGAAATTTCTCATTATGAATACAATATAATGGTTAAATGTAGACTACAAGAACTAATTCAATCAATCATGCTTGCCAACATGAAACAGATGCAGCCATGTACAGAATCTGTCAAAACTAGAGAAAATTTCAAACATGAAAGAATTCCAACCGTGTCAAAAACGGTGGATCGAACGCCCCTTTTCTCCAAACTCAGAGCGCACATTATTCCGGCCATGCCGCCGCCGATAATAGCAATAAGGGGGTCATCGGAGAGAGCAGAGGTGAAGGTCACTTGCTCCTGACTGAAAGTCTTCTTCAGAATCGACCTTCTTGAGGTACCGTATGAAGATTTTCGACGGAATTTGGAGGTGGGTTTGCGGCCATCCATGGCGGGTTTTCTGGATTTGGATTGGGAATCACATGTTACAATCAGAGTGAAATTTCTGCAGGGCTTCGCGGAGAAGATCGAAGGTTTAGGGATTTTGAAGGGTTGAAGAATGAGGGACGAGGAAATGGAATGAGTGAAGGGAGACATGATCTTTGGAGGGGAACGAGTGGATGAGAGGAGGAGACGGCTTCAATAATCCCCATTTCCACACCGCTGCGCGCCATAAGTCACCATTGGTTCCTTCAAACTTCAAAATGATGATTCAATTACTAATTTAATCTCTAATCATAACATTTTAACACAAATTTTATAGAACCCATTTCATATAAAATTATGATCAAGGTTTAAAATTTTTTAAATCTTTCATATGCATGCCGAGATTTCTACTCATAAGCTGTATGTTTATGAGTTTGATATCGATATAAAAGATGAATCGACATTTCTATTATATCATAAAAATATCAATGGAACATAGAAAGAAATATTTTTTTTTGATGTGTGGATCTAATTATGATCATAGATGAATACATTGGAATAGCTGAAAACATGTGTGTCTGAGTAAAGGTAAGGGAAGCATGAATTTCTGTGACGTTTTGTGAGATCCTACATCGGTTGGGGAGGAGAACGAAACATTCGTTACAAGGGTGTGAAAATCTCTCGTAACAGACGTGTTTTGAAAATCTTTAGGGAACCCTAAAAAGGAAGGTCCAAACAAGACAATATTTGATAGCGATGGGCTTGAGTTGTCACACTAGACAATGTTACCTAAGCAAAGTCACGTTATAAAAGAGAGAACTGTCTTACTGCCCACTTCATATCTGACCCCTCTCCAACCATTTATGCGTCGGAGAGACGGTATCCTAGTTCATGCAAAAGCCATTTATAAATCACATGCTGAAACAAGGTAAAATCAAAGAACATTACTTAAATGCTACTACGGGTGGAGAAGCGTTTCGTAGGGGAGAGATTCAATAAGTAAAATGCTAAAACGCATCGTCTCCGACCATAATGAAACTATGTGGCTACCTAATCCTCATCAACAGCCTTCCCACACGAACGAGGCTAATCTAGATAGGAAAGGAAATCGAGCCAACTCCACGTCATTGAACTCGAAACAAAAATAATACAACATTTTAAACAGATAACCATCAAAACTTCAACCAAAATGGCTCAAAGTTAGAGAATGAAAATCGTATAATTTGAAACTTTGTCAATGACCATCTCAAGAACATCAAAATACAGATCAATTCCAATGAAAAGTAGAAAACAAACCCAAAAAAGCCATAGAAAATCATTCTCTAACTTCACTGTATCATGTAATGCACAATGATCTCTCTCATATGTCGTAAAATCATTAAACTTTCAGAAAAAATGGGAAAAAAACATATACATTTCAGCTCAGCTCAGCTCACTCAGTCAAGTCATTAGATGTAAGAAAACAAGCTATTTTCTTTGCTCCTCAACCCATCATTTTTTCTTTCCCTTAGCTCACATTAGGGAAAATGTAGACGTTCATGACTGAAACGGGATATCTACATTAGTTTCGTGTGGATCGGTCGTTGCAGAGCTCATTTTACTTGTCTCATTGTCGTGCTTCGCATGATTTCTATGTTTAAAAGATTCACTGTGCTGGCATTGCCCATTGGCTTGTGCTTTACTTTTGCGGGCTATGCTGTTAGCTGATTCCGATCTGTGAATACAGAAGCCATGGCGATGTGCTCGTGCGCATACTTTTCCTTTCTCCTCTAGGTTTAAGTTGGTCACGTCACTGCAGCTTTTCCTTCGAGTTAGATTTGGAGACTTTGGTCGAGTTAATGGTTGCTGCCATAAGATTCTAGTTAAAATTTTACTATCATAAAATAAAGTAAAGAAACATGAGAAAAGTCAGGAGAGCTTATGCTTTAAGTGAACAATATCATACCATTGTAGAGAGTCATGGTTCCTGACATGGTATTAGAGTCGTGCCCTTAACTTAGCTACGTCAATAGAATCTTCAAGTGTCGAACAAAGAAGTTGTGAGACTCGAAGGTAACGTGACTCAAGTGTCAAACAAAGGGTGTACTTTGTTCAAGGGCTCCAAAGAAGGAGTCGAGCCTCGATTAAGGGGAGACTGTTCGAGGGCTCCATAGACCTCAAGGGAGGCTCTATGGTGTACCTTGTTCGAGGGGAGGATTATTGGGAGAGGAGTCCCACATTGGCTACTTAAAGGGAAAATCGTGGGTTTATAAGTAGGAATACTATTTCCATTGATATGAGGTCTTTTGGGGAAACCAAAAGCAAAGCTAAGCTCTCTCAAAGTGGACAATATCATACCATTATGGAAAGTCGTGGTTCCTAATATGGTATCAGAGTCATGCTCTTAACTTAGCTACGTCAATAGAATCCTCAAGTGTCGAACAAAGAAGTTCTAAGCCTCGAAGGTGTAGTCAAAGGCGACTCAAGTGTTAAACAAAGGGTTTACTTTGTTCAAGAGCTCCAAAGAAGGAGTCGAACCTCGATTAAGGGGAGGCTATTCGAGGGCCCCACAGACCTCAAAGGGAGGATTGTTGGAAGATGAGTCTCACATTGGCTAATTAAGGGGAAGATCACGGGTTTATAAGTATGAATACTATCTCCATTGATATGAGACCTTTCGAAAAAACCAAAAGCAAAACCACAAGAGCTTATGCTCAAAGTGGACAATATCATACTATTGTGAAGGTCCGTGATTCCTAACCTAACATGCTTCTTGAAGTGCCCTTCCCGTAAGGGCATCTCGGTTTACCGTTTAGCGACTTATACAACCTAAGACAGGAATGATCATTTCAGTATATAGTTTTGATTGCTGACCTTTTTGAGTTCAACCTTAGGTGGTGGTCCTTCATAATAGAAGTTGGGCACTGGTTTTGCTTTGATCACTAATCCCTTCCTAAGCTGCTTGATTGCTGCTTCTTGCTCTTCCTGAAACCATTTTAAAGCAGTAAATCAAAGACGAAACCAAGATGATCGTTCGATGATTACGCGAATGCCATCCGAAAGTACCTTAATTCGGGCTTCGTATTGGATTCTCTCTGCCTCCATGGCTTTTTGTTTCTCCTCCAACTTATTATAGTACTGCACAAAAAATATAATTTCATAAGCAAACAGATAATCGCTATGTCTTAGTTCATACAACAAGTCGGTACCTCCTTCCTTTTATCAGCACGTTTAGCCGATCTAAACGTGGGAGCCGTTCCGATAGTTACTTTAGATTTGAGTTGTTGAACGGATGCAATGGTGCTATGAACGGGCTAAGGATAACAAAATTTGATCATACGAATAAACTAAGCATTATACAAAATAAAGAGTTGATTCTATATGGTAGTTGTCGAAAAGAGGATACGAGGAGGCGATGGACCAATGATCTTCTTCTTCGTGATATTTCTTAAGATCGTTATGTGAAGATCTACGCGACGATTGAGGCGAGTTCGGCTGTAGACATGGGAAACATCAGAATTATGTGTGTCTGTTAGTCCTATGCTACTTTTCCAACAGCATATATACTTCGTCTAGTAGTTTATGTATGATCAAAACGTAGCTCCATCGACACACGTACAAGTTGAACTTACCAGTGAATTCTTTTTTGGGCTGTGGGGAGACTGCAATTTGATAGTGTTTAGGGATGCATGAAAAACGGTTGTTGGAGGAGCCTGAACAACGGTTTTTGGAGGAGCTTGAACAACGGTTTTCGGAGGAGGCTCAACAATGGTTTTCAGAGGAGGCTCAACAATGGTTTTCAGAGGAGCTTGAATAACGGTTTTTGAAAGAGCCTGAACAACGGTTTTCGGAGGAGCTTGAACAACGGTTTTCGGAGGAGGCTCAACAATGGTTTTTAGAGGAGCCTCAACAATGGTTTTCGGAGGAGCTTGAACAACGGTTTTGGAAGGAGCCTGAACAACGGTTTTGGAAGGAGCCTCAACAATGGTTTTCAGAGGAGTATGAACAACGGTTTTTGAAGGAGCCTGAACAACAGTTTTTGAAGGAGCCTGAACAACGATTTTCGGAGGAGGCTCAACAACGGTTTTTGGAGGAGCCTCAACAATGGTTTTCAGAGGAGTATGAACAACGGTTTTTGAAGGAGCCTGAACAACGATTTTCGGAGGAGGCTCAACAATGGTTTTCAGAGGAGCCTGAACAACGGTTTTCAGAGGAGCCTGAACAACGGTTTTTGAAAGAGTCTGAACAATGGTTTTTGGAGGAGGCTCAACAATGGTTTTTGGAGGAGCCTCAACAATGGTTTTTAGAGGAGCCTGAACAACGGTTTTTGGAGGAGGCTCAACAATGGTTTTTGGAGGAGGCTCAACAACGGTTTTCGGAGGAGCCTGAACAACAGTTTTCGGAGGAGGCTCAACAACGATTTTTGTAGAAGCCTGAACAACGGTTTTCAGAGGAGGCTCAACAACAGTTTTCGGAGGAGGCTCAACAACGGTTGTCGGAGGAGGCTCAACAACGGTTGTCGGAGGAGGCTCAACAACGATTTTCTGGGGAGGCTCCACAACGATTTTCGGGGGAGCCTCAACAACGGTTTTCCGGGGAGCCTCAACATCGGTTTTCGGGGGAGCCTCAACATCGGTTTTCGGGGGAGCCTCAACATCGGTTTTCGGGGAAGCCTCAACAACAGTTTTCGGGGAAGCCTCAACAACAGTTTTCGGGGAAGCCTCAACAACGGTTTTTGGACCAGCCTCAACAACGGTTTTCGAGGGAGCCTCAACAACGGTTTTCGGGGGAGCCTCAACAATGGTTTTCGGGGGAGCCTCAACAATGGTTGTTGGGGGAGCCTCAACAACGGGTGTCGGGGGAGCCTCAACAACGGGTTTCGGGGAAGCCTCAACAACGGTTTTGGGAGAAGCCTCAACAACGGTTTTGGGAGAAGCCTCAACAACAGTTGTCGTAGAAGCCCCAACAACAGTTGTCGTAGAAGCCCCAACAACAGTTGTCGAAGAAGCCTCAACAACGGTTTTTGGAGAAGGCTTGGTCTCAATGGTTGGTGAGCTCATTGCTGCTTTTTCCCTAGCCTGCACAGTTGGTTGCTGAGCCTTATGGTTTACTCGCACAATTCTTGGACTAACAGCTATAGCCCTGGGCGAGATAGACTTATTAAAGTCACTAATTTTCTGTGCAACAGTCCTCTCCGCCTTCTTCTCCACGGACACGAGCACCGGCGCAGGTGCAAACACAGAGCTAGACACACTGGCATCAAGGTTAGAGCTTCTGATTCCTACACCATTGTTCTCCTTTTCTTGATAACTTTCGACAACCGAATTCTCCTCGCTTCCGAGTTCCTCCGAATCAATAACTTTGGGGGAAACAAGGACTTTGTCATGAGAAACACCATTTAAAACCACAACAGAACCATTTGGCTTCTCCATTACACCATCAATTTCCCTACCCATGACCCTGCACCAAACACACCAACAACATCACAATCAAATCCTTAAAAACAAACAAAAAAAACATCCTAAGTTATCTAATCCATTGTTTGCAAGGAAAACGTGAAGAACAAACGCAAGAACACTTCAAAAGTTTGAATTGACCCACCAAATCAAAAGGGTCCATAAAAAACACACACAAGAATCCCCACAAACACATGCAGAGATTCAAACCCATTTTCGCAAGAATCAAAACAACGAACATAAACAGAGATTTGAGAGACTCAAAACTGTGCATCAAGAACAGGGGAAGCCATTTTTCAGCCATTTTTCAGCCATTAGAGAGCTCAAAACACAGAAAGAAGAAGAACCCACCTTGAAAAACCAGCTCCCCTGCCGATCTGACAAGATTTCCCTGGCTCCCCGACCTGTTCCTCCCTCCCCTTCCCCTTCTAAAACGAAACAAATGAGAGAAAAAAAATTGAAAATGGGGTTTGTTTGTTTTGCTTCCCTTATTTAGTTTTCCTTTTTAGAAATCAATGTTAGCGGTTTTCCTTTTTGTTAGCGTAATGATCGGAAAAGAAAGCAAAATTCCAACAACAGAAAATGAAGGCTTTTTATCGCTGTTTTGTTTTGCTGTTTGATTGGACGGTCTATTGCTAATTTGCTTGCTTATTTATAGATTATAAACCAAATATCACCTTTTTTTTTGTTTGTTAATTATTTATTTATTTTTAGGATAAATTCGAAAAATTAGTGGAGCCAAAAACACACAAAAAGACAAAAAAAAAAAAACTTTTTGGTCTGTGGGGGCCCACATTAACGATGTCGAATTTTGCCACGTCATCGTATTTGAGAGAAGATCGAAGATCCTCAACTCACGTTTAAACACATTATAAATTTGGTTTAAGATAATTTATTAAATAAAGTCCCATGAATTTTTTTAATATATATTTTGTTCATATCGTGTGTGGATGAAAGTCCCACGTCCGCTAATTAATGGAATAATCATGAGTTTGTAATCAAATAATAATATTTCTATTGGTACGAGGCATTTTACGGAACCTCAAAGCACAATTAGTCCTTTGAACTTCATACCATAAGTTGTGTTTATCTAACATGATATCAGAATTATGCCCTAAACTTAGTCATGTCAATAAAATTCTCAAATGTTGAACAAAGAACTTCAAAGGAAAAAGGAGTCGACAACTCCTCGAAAGCATAGTAAAAAATGACTAAAACTTCAAAAGAAAAGGAGTCGAGTCGATGACTCCTCAATGACTAAGACTCCAAAAGAAAATAAGTCGAGCCTCAATTAAGGGAAGACAAACTTTGTTTAAGGGGAAGTGTTGGTGGATGAAAGTCTCACATCGGCTATCTCAAAGCAAAGCCATGAGAGCTTATGCTTAAAGTCATTATTAATTATCATATGCTTAGAATTGTTCTCATTTGGATATGGTTCAGGTTTATTTATATACATTTCATTTACTCCGACAGTCACATTTCTAAATTTTATTATCAAAATGGAATATTTGAACCCTTATGAGAATATCGTTTTCGCCATCTCAGGTTTTCTAGTCCCATCAAGCCCTTCTCTCTTGGGTCTAACCCTCTTACTCCACTCGTTGTCGTATAAACGAGCATTAAAGCGAGCCAAAGAAGCCTTCAATTTAGAGTAAACAAGAAAATCACAACAGATAAATAATGTCTCTTAATACCGCAAAAATAGATAATAATTATAAGTAATTTTCTATTATATATATATATATATATATATAATTATAGGATTAATGATATCCAACCCATTATTAGTATTGATTAATCATTCTTTTACTCAAAGTTAATTTCTAATTATCTCCCACCAAATTACAACCCTTAATTAACACACAAACATAAGCACCTTTTGGAAAGTCTCTTTTGCAATGAAATAACAATGGACCCAATTGGTGGGTGTGATGGTTTTGTTTGGGACGGAGGGTTTAGGGTTTAGATCGAATGTGGTATCAATTTATTTATGTATCTCTTTGACTCGGGTGTCACAGAAGATAATGGTTCGTTTCGACATAAAATTTCAATTTTATCTACAAGATCAAATAGAATTAAGATATTTTCACATATTAAAAGATACATTATCATATATTGAAATTCATTTAATATATTTTTAAAAAGCGAAAGAACTCCACCCACAACATAATATATTTGAAATGAATGATCTAAATGTGATTAAACCATATAAATCATTTTCTATAGAAAATGTGAAGTATAATCAAAATATTCCCTTTTCATTATTTCTCGTGTAACTTGTGTTGGTTGTGATGGTCTGCCTCATAGTGTATTAAGAAAATTTTATAAATTCTAGTTCGTGAGACTAAAAAAGTCTCGTTCTATTTAAAAAAAAATGTTTTTTAAAATAAAAAGGGTAGATTCGTAATATTACCTTTTTAGATCCACTTAACTCGGATTCATGGTATTCAATGATTTTGGAAAGATAAATGGCACTGTATAACATAAAGAAAACGTGTTGAAAGATGGTCAACTTTTGAGGGAGGGAAAGCGTTTCAATAAGATCTCTATTTCCCTTGTTGCAACCTCAGTACTAAAATAACAGCACAAAGAAATTGTTTGGTAAGTTGCCGGGTGTAGCACACTACATGTTAGTCAGAAATAGAAGTTGGTAGATATGTAACACCACATGAATAAACCAGTACTATGTTTAAATAAAAATGGTCCAAAATGTTTAAAGATTGATAATTAGGTTTAGAAATATTTAAAACATTTTTATTGAGAAATGAAATTTTAAATTAAGTATTATATTAATAAAAATATCCATAAATTCTGTAATTTATCTAACAAATTATTTAGTTTTTCTGGAGTTTCAATAATATTTTAAACTTAAAAAAATATCTAAAAATAATATTGGTTTAAAATATACCTTTCAATTTCGAATATTTAAAAAATACTCTTTCATTAATACCGTTAAATTTTTTTAAAAGTATTAAAATATTACGTTGAAAAATGTTCAATAAATTTTAAAAATAGCATTAATATATTGATTTTTTTTTTCAACTTTTTAATGTTAAATATTATTAATTTATATTTGAGATAAAATATTAAGTAGAGAGAGAGAGAGAAAGGGTAATTTGGGTAATGGAAAAATAGGCGAAAGAACTTGAGAATCTGTGAAAAATAACTGCCTTTACAAATACTGTGGCTTTTGACCATCTCTTATTCCGGAGATAACGGTTTAAACAAAACTAACATCCATATTCACTGTCCAATAAACCACCGCCACGTGTCACTTTCCCGCTCTTTCCCCCCTATAAAATCATTCCTCTTAACAACTTGCAGCTAGTTTCCCGAAGGCTGAGCCCCTCTTCAATTTTCCCGCTCCTTCGAATTTTCCCGAGAAAATTCCGAGAAAAGAAAATCCTCTCTGTTTCTTTGATCTGTGTGAGAGTGAGAGAGTTCGAAGTGTGAAGAACAACAGAAGCAATGGCGACGATGGCAGTTTCGGGAGCCACAGCCGCAGCCACCCCCACACCCGCGGCCGCCGCCACTGAAACACAGAAGAAGAACAGAATCCAGGTTTCCAACACCAAGAAACCCCTCTTCTTCTACGTTAATCTTGCTAAGGTATATATATACTAATCCTTCTTCTTTCGTTTGATTTTAATCACTGAGAATTCCGATTTTGTTCTGTTCTTGTTTCGTTCTCAAGAAATGGAATCGAAAATATATAATGTAATAACGATCCATCAATCTGTGTTCTTCTTTTTGTGATCTGAACAAATTTACTGTTGAAGATCTTTGGAAGGGAGTCTGACTAATTTAGGGAATAATCGTGGGTTTAGTTTATAAGTAAGGAATACATTTTCATTGGTACGAGGTCTTTTTGGGAAATTAAAAGTCACGAGAATTCATGTTCAAAGTGGACAATACCATACTACTGTAGAGATCCGTGATTCCTACCATGATATAAGAGCCATGTCAAAGTGGACAATATCATACTATTGTGGAGAGTTGTGATTTTTAATAGGCTATAAGAGTCATGTCAAAGTAGACAATTTCATACCATTGTGGAGAGTTATGATTTTTAACATAGTATTAAAGTCATGCCCTTAACTTAGTTATATTAATAGAATTCTCAAGCGTTGTATAATGAAGTTGTGAGCCTTGAAAATGTAGTCAAAAGTGACTCAAACGTCGAACAAATGGTGTACTTTGTTTGAGGACTCCAGAAAAGGAGTTGAGCCTTGATTAATAGGAGGCTGTTCAAGGGCTTCATAGGCCTCGAGGGAGGCTCTGTAGTGTACTTTGTTTGAGGTGAGGATTGTTGAGAGGGCTTATGCTTCATACAAGGCCTTTTGGATAAACCAAAAATAAAGTCATGAGAACTTATGTTCAAAGTGGATCATATCGTACTATTGTGGAGAGCCATGATTCCTAACATTTACTTCCATAATCCTCTGATTTTAGTTTATACGTTGTTTGGTTGTTTTCGGTGACAACAAGTTTTTTACGTAATTGTTTTGATTCTTGATTCAGAGGTACATTCAACAACACAATGAGGTGGAGCTTTCCGCCTTGGGAATGGGTACTGTTTTAATTTTCCTCTGATCGATATACGTTGTTCTCGACGAATCATATCTGATGAACTTTTGGTTTTCTTGCATCGAATCCTTCGAATTGTTACAGCAATCACTACCGTTGTCACAATTGCAGAGATTCTAAAGAACAATGGACTGGCTACAGAGAAGAGTAACTCTGTTTCTTCGTCTTTAATGCTAATTTCTGTTGGTAATATAAAATGGTGATGATTATTGATAATCGTATGGTTTTGCTATGAATAGAAGTTTTGACTTCCACCGTCGGCATGAAAGATGAAAACAAAGGCCGTTTGGTTCAGAAAGCCAAGGTTGGTTCATTTGTGAATTCTTATCAAATTTTATCGTTTTGACATCAAATTGCTCTGTTTTGTGATAGATTGAGATAGTTCTCGGAAAGTCAGAGAAATTTGATTCTCTGATGACTGCGGCTACGACAGTACCAGAGCCGGCGGTGGCGACGGCGACGGCGACAGCGATGGCGGCTCCTGTTGCTGCTGAAGAGAAAAAAGAAGAGGAAAGCAAGGAGGAGCAGTAGGGGGAGGAGGAGAGGTGAATTTGAATGTTACATTGTTGTAGTTTAAGAATCACATTGCAATGTTATAGGATAGGTTGTTTTCTTCTTTTTCTTGAACGGTCACGTTTATGAATGACATGTTTAGTGTCGTAATCCATTGTGTGATGAAGTGGATTGTGCTTCCGATCAGGTCATCTGCTCTTCTCATAGTATGGTTGTGACCATGTCATTACCCCAAAAAAATTTCAATTTTTTTCTCTGTCTACTGTGTTGAGACGTTGCATTTGGTTGGTACTTCTCTGTTGCATCTAATGAAGTAAATCTCTGATACTTCTTTTGAAAAGTTCCTTATTCATTTTATTTTTTATTTTTTCAATGAAT